TGAATAGCTGTAAGAACCTATACATAATCTTTATCACAAACACCTGGTTTAATGGAAATGACACCAATGTAAGGCTGCTCTTGAACTTTGTAAGAGACCTGACCAGGTATTGTCAACTGTAAATACTGAAATAAAATTCCAATTAAGTTCTAAGCTTCATGTCTCTCAGCTAAAGTGACATTATACAACCACCTCCTATATTTTCACTTTAAAGAGAGATCCAAATGTAATAATCTCTTCAGAGGCTCCTAAAACAGGTAGTGTTAAAAAGTTTCAATCAAAGACTAGTAGTTTCAAAAAAAGACTAGTAAATGTGAATAGCTTTTATCCAAAACTTTTGACCAAGACTCCTGAACTCAGGATCTCCTGAACTCAGGAATACTATGTTAATCTTCAGCTTTTTTGTCTCTTTTGCATGACAATATTTTTGTTTATTAATTTAAGGTTTTGATTGCTAAATATAATTCTTAATTTTCCCTTATCTTGTCATTTCCAGCACAACCAAAGAAGCACTACTTCTGATAAACTTTTCCCAATAGTATATAAATAGTATATAAATTTCAACTGACCAGTCTTTCTAAAACTCTATCTGTACATGCTTTCTTCGTCAAAGTGTTTGTCCTGCAGAAATCTGAATAAGGTTTTACACTTAATAGGTTTCTGTTTGATTTCCTTCCATATAATCTAATAAAAATTCTTTAGACATTGAGACTTTCTGTAGTTTTAAACAGTAAATTGACCACTTAAGTCCTCAATCATCTATAAAATAGGTATACTGATTTTTTTTATTCATAGCCATATAACAAATGAATAAGGTAATGTAGGTGTGAGTGTTCTATACTCTATAATATATTATATAAAATGTGTGATGATACAATTTTACCTGCACAGCTAACCATTTTCCTGGGGTTACAGACACATTTACCTCTTTCTTGGACTTACATCTCCACTTAATAAAACAAATGGACATTTCTTTGATAAAGCACAGGTAAGAAACAGAAATATAATTTTGGCATATCAATGCACCAGATTTATGATAGCAAATAATCAATCTTGGCAATTGAATAGCTAGTTAAACTCCCATAAATATGACTTTAAATAGTTGTATATGTTTGTGTTAACAAGAAATAAAATGTAGAAGGATATATGGTTAGTTAATGTTGATGATATTGCCTTATATATAAGAAGGAAAGAAAAAGAGACAGACAAAAAAATGATAAAAAATATATAGTGTGTCTTTTGGGATTATTAGGCACTAGGTATTGTGTCAAGCATTTGATCTACATTACCTCCTTATAACATGAGTATGAAATAGATTTTTTTTTTACATATTAGGAGAATAATTTACATATTAGGAGAATACAATGTAAATACATTCTTTAATATGTAAAAAAATATAGTAGAGATGAAATTTGAAACGGGGAAATCTGCTTCAAAAATCAAATGGTAGTCCAAATCACTAGGATATATAAACTTTAAAAATTGTTTATTTTTGTATGTTTTTTCCTAAGGCTGGTACAATGACAGAAATTTTCCTTCCTCCTCTCTCCTTTGTACAGGATCTATCCAGATCTCAATTACATCACTATGTTGAAGGAAAAATTCTGTGGAACTAATTGAGAACCTGAGGGAGATATAAAAAAACAAGAGGGTCTCTGGAAGAAATATTTCATGCAGAAGTGGTTGAGAGAAATCAAGAATGAAACAAGAAGTGAATAGTAGAAAATTACAAATTACTTCAGATTTCTGGTTTCAGCCCTGACATGTAAAGAGCTTGGAAGTCACTACCCCCATACATACAGTAAAAAAGCTAGACAACCCCCAAATCAAAAACTTTTCACAAAGAACTGAGATTGTACAAGATTTGACCCCACAAAATCTGGAGTAAATCTGGCAAATCTAGAGAATCAGACCTCATGTCTACTAATGAAAAGCAGAGCCACTAAAACCACAAACTGAGAGGATCACTTAACAGGTAAACTTGAATAATTTCTTGAGGTGGAGCATAGACTGCCTTGAGAAGGAGGAACTACTGGTGATTGTAGTCTTAGGGAAACCCCCACATGTTCCAAGAACCCCACTAAGTTCTCAAGATGAGGAGCTAAGAAATGTCTCCTTGTGAGTCTGGCAGGGCAAAGGAAAAGAAATCATTGTGAAATAACCTGTGTACTCTAGATAAAAAAGAAATACTCTGGGAAAGGGTGGAGAGAGACTTTACCAGAATCTTAACCCAACTGAGGAAAAGACCTGTTTCCCACTTCAGCTTCTTCTACCCATTTTATATACTAACAAAGGTAAACAACAACAACAACAACAACAACACCAAAAACAAACAAACAAAACACTTTACCATTGAAGAATCACTTGTTAAGGTCACATCCAGAGACACAGGCCCACTATAAGGTTACAGAATACTTCTGCTGCCTGACACCTTAACACCACACCAATAGGGATCCATCTGAAAAAGCTTAAGAGCAGACTATCTCAGAAAACAGATACATAGGGACCCCCAAATCATGAAGGGAAATAAAAATGAGAATAGAAGAATTTGAAATCTCTGTCACCTATACCTACAGCAAACATTAAACACAGCCCAAATTCTGGATGTGTTATCATAAAATTTCACACTAAAGATCTATTTAACTCAATTCCAATTATCCAACACAATATGCCAAATAGCAAGAAAATCAACGTATAAAGAGATAAATTTAGAAACAGATTGAATATGTCATAGGTGATGGAATTGTCAAGAACCAGATTTAAAATAACTAGAATAATACCTCAAAGGTTATATGAGAAAAAGTAGACAACATTTAAAAATGGATAAAAACAACAAATACAGGGCAACTAAAAAAAAAAAAAATCAATAGGCAATCCTGGAAATCAAAACCACTAACTAAAATAAAGAATGCCTTCATAGGTCTTGTCATTCATTTGGAGAAGACCAAGGAAAGAAGCAGTTAGCTTGAAGATAGGTTATTAGAAAATTCCTGAACTGAGGAACATATTTTAAAAACAAGCAAAAACAAAAACAAAACAGAACATCCAAGAAATTTGTCAGAATTTTGTAATTACATAATGGGAATACCAAAAAAAGAGAAGAAAAGTAAATAGAGAAAAGTGAGCGATAAAGTAATAATTAAAGAGAAGTTTTCAATTTAATGACAGGCACAAAACCACAGACCCAAGAAAATCAGGGGACATTGAACAGTAGGAATACCAAATTTAAAAAACCTAAGTGAATTATATTAAAACTACAGAAAACAAAAAACAAAAAACAAAAAAGATGACCTTGAAAGAAGAAAAGGGAAGAAAATCACCTAACCTACAGAGAACAAGGAGTTTAAGTTCTGTAACGTAAATATGGTAAAAGAGATGAAAATTACATTGAATATCTTGTTCAAGTTCAGCAATCTGTATTTTGAGAAGTGAGTGATTTGGTCACTATCACTGATGTCTGGAATTCTGAGGGCCATATGGAGTGTCTTGAAGGTCTTGTATCATGACTTTAGTGCATGTAGATTGATGTTTAATATATTAACTTATATTGTGGTTGTCTGTTAGGTAACAGATTCCCAGAACTCTTTACTCCAAATGGGGTGATTGTTATCGCTGCCATTGGCCAGACCAGGCATCTAGAACATTACTACTTGCCCAGGAATCTATAAAATTATTCAAGTAGTACTTTGCAGCCATCCATAAATTGTATGAACTCCCATTGCTGTTCATTCAGTTGCTCTCAGGGGACTTTTCCAGGTAGCCAAGGAATCTGGAAGAAAGGTGACTGCCTTCTAGAGTGTGGTGTATGGCAAGGTACTGAGGACAGGGAAGAGATCCCCAAATTTAGAAGGCCCAAATTTGGCTCTATCCTTCATAAGCAGGCCTTGGTGACCATTTTGAGCTATAGGCATGCTCCTTTGATGACCAAAGGCACAATAGCCAGCTGGGTACAGAGGGTTACCACCTCTTGGTCTATGAAAGCCTCTATTTTGAGAAGAGCAGTTTGTTGTCAGCGACTTCACACTAATGACACAGCAGTTTCTTGTATCAGAAGCTCATAGTTAACTTATGGCTATCATGGGTGTTCCAGAGAGGAGGTTGCTAAAGCCTCCTCTGTGAAGGAGTCTTTTGTTGAGGAGATGGCACTAGTGGGAATGACTGCTGTATTGCAGTTTTGACAGATTCTAAAGCCTTTTGTTGTAGAGACTCTAGTCAAGGAGGACTTATTTACAAGTAAAAACATATAAGGACTTAAATAAAATTTGGAAGTGAGGGACAGGTTGTTTTCAGAACCTGAAACTGTGGAAAAGTTGTTGGATTGTTTTAATGTTGTGGGCATTGACAGGATCAACAGCTGTTTCTCAATGATGGCAAGTACGGCACAATCCTTGATTTACCAAATAATGCTTACAGATTTAACGAAGTTCGTAAAGTCAGTAACTCCAATGATAATGTGTATGGGGATTTCAATGGGGGCCACAGCATTATTACAGTAGTCTATTATGGGGCGCCACTTTTTCTTTCTCAATTTAAAAACAGGCCAAATTGGTCTAAGTGAAGAAGCGAAAAAGTCTTGAATGGTTGGTTTTAATGTTTGAAATCTGTTTTAATTTACATTGGGTCATAACTTATTAACTGGGGGAAGATCTACGAGGTCTTATTTTATCAACACGACTTGAAAATTCCAAAGACCAATTTAATTTTAACTTATTACTCATTGGGTAATAGTAATACCCGCTCTGACGTATTTCAGTGTAATGCATTATACAGTAGTGCAGAATTTAAGCAACACAGTAGTTCTGATGGTCAGAGACACACCTATTTGTACTCTATTTTATATTTTTAAGTCTTTTAAGATTATAAGAAGTACCTTGCTTAATATTTAGAATCCCCAGGTATATCTTTAATTTGAACCTCAGACCATGAAGATTAAAACCATGAAGATTTGCCAGTGGGTACATTTTGACATATTAAAGTTAATTCAGATCCAAAGTTGTTGAGTGCTTGCTTTGACAGAATATATACTAAAATTGGATAGATACAGAGATTAGTATGACCCCTGTGCAAGGATGAATACAAATTTATCAAACATTCCATATTTTAAAATAAAACACACACACACACACACACACACACAAATTTGTTGAGACACAAACTTCAATCAGTAGCCTTTTATCTTTTATTATATAAAATAATTTAATAAATTTTGGACTGGGTCAAATTGTGGACCTCTGTTTCAATTTTCTGTACCCAGGTTTCTATCCTGTACCCAGGTTTATTCTTCTTTTCTATTTTTAAATTGGTGTTAATGGATATACTTCAGACAAACTCCTCTCTCCCTTGCTCATATACTTAAGCTTGCTCCTCCAGAGAACCTCAAATTAACATCTCCAGGGTTTATAGCCTCCCCCATGGCAATGGTTCCTTTATTGAATTGAAGCTGGGCTTATGTTGGATTTGACTCAACCACTTCACTGTGCTACAGGGGTAACATGAGTGCTTTCCTCTATAATCTTGAGGATCAAGATCTTTGTTGTAACAGAAACATAAATAGCAGCAGCAGAAGTGTAGTCCTAGTGAGTCCTGTGCTTTTAGATGAATAGACTTCAGCATTTCAGGTAATGACTGCATTTTTTTCCTTTTTCTCTATTTTAAAAAATTCATTAGTGACTACTTTTTCACGAGTGACCAACTGATGTGCCCATATCTTGCATAGGGTACAATCCTTCATACGGAACAGAGGTCAAAACTTGTCTGAGACTTACAATGAATTGGTAATAGGTGAGACTCTTTCTCCTAAACCTATTGTCAACCAGTTTTATTTTAAATACCCACATATTTCCAGGTTGAGATACTTAACCCAGGGCCACTAAGGAGGGCCCCAAGCATGAATGATTCTCCTTCCAAAACCAAATATTGAAAATTCTGACTTAGGTCAGATAAATATATAATAAACTTCCTATAGAACTCAACAAAAGTAGCTGAGTGCAGCAAAACTCAAGCCCAAGTTTGCCAGAAAGAAGTGGAGCTATGCCACACACCATGCTTGGTGGCTTCTAAACAGTTAGTGTAAAGATTTATTACTTACATATGGGGCTATTTGGGGATAGCCTCATTTAAAAATTTGCTTGAGAGAGGATTTCAAAATCTGCTTGAGAGAGAAAAGAAAGGAGGCTGACTCAGAATTTTCATTGTGGCTAGGAAGTGTGTCAGGGTGCGTGTGGGTTGGGTGGGGGTTCCTACACATGGTCAGGAGCTTGTATATTTTAATCTCCCAAGGTGACAAATGAGAAAGTATCCAGGCTTTCTTATCAGGTTGCCCAGAAGGAAAGAGGGAAGTGCTTAAAGACCGATAGATCAAGCAGGCAAAAAAAATCACTAAGGTATAGTTGATTTTTTTTTTAAGTAACAGTTGATCTTAAGAATATTATCAATCAAATTGATCTAATTTACATGGGTAGATACATCCCCTGATAATAGAATACACATTCTTTTCATACTCAGATGTAACATTCTCATTCTTGGCTCCCAAAAATCCCTAAAAATCACAAAAACTGGAAATCATGCAAAGTAGGACTTCACATAGTAATGCAATTAAATAAACTAGAAATCAGAGACAGAAAGATAGCTGTAAATATAATTATAAATGATATATGTATCAAAAGGAAATTTGAGAAAAAAATTTAAAATATACTCAAATGAAAATTTAAAAACAGCTTATCAAAATTTGTGGGACGCAGCAAAAACAGTACTTAGAAATTTATTCCACCAAAAGCATGTATAAGAAAAAAAGAAAGATCTAAAATCAGTAACTGTCACAGCTGGCGCGACAAATCGACCAGGAACGTGAGGGTAAGAGGTTGGTGAAAAGAAATTAAGAGACAAAGAGATGGGGGCAGGAGGAGCACTGAGGATGATGTCCAAAAGTGCCAATTTTATTCCACATCTTACAAGCATTTATAAGGCAGACTACAATAGGAGGAGTAATACATCAGTATCTAGTCAGATGACCGCAAGTTCCTATAACAAGTTTACATTAACTACAAGCAAACCTTGTGATGCCAGATAGTCTCGGCTAATTCCATTAGCAAGACAATCAGCCAGGGAGTGGGTTATGGGAGGTACAGGAACAACAAGGACCAACTAAGAATTCATGACCCTGACCACATTGTTCCTTCTGTAGGGAGAGTGTGTGGGAAGTCACGTAGGCGAGCACACAACAGATAGATAGCACACAGACCCTTTCTCAGTGTTACTCAACCTTTCCTGTCCATAACCCTTTACTAAAGTATTTGGACTTAAAGGGAGACACAAGTCAGGGCCTGGTTTGGTCCTCGTCTCAAGCCTTATCGTGGCCTCCAACAAGTAACTTAGGCTCCTACCTTAGGAAACTAGAGAAAGAAGAAGAATTTAAGTATAAAATAGCATAAAGAAAATATAATAATAATAATAATAATAATAAAAGTTCCCAAAACAAATACATTGAAAACAAGGAAACAAAAGCATCAAAATTAAAGGCTGCTTTTTTGGAAAGATCAATAAAATTTATGAAAGCACTTAGTCTGACCAAGGAGGAAAAAAAAAGACATATACCAATGTTAGAAAGAAGAGTCAACACAATGGCCTCATAGACAATAAAAGAAAAATAATAATATGAATATCCACTGCCACAAATTTGATAACTTAGATGAACTTTATTAATTCCTATAAGACACAACTATGAAAATTACACAAAGATCAATAATTTGAATAAGACTATATATCAATTATAGTATTGGATCAATATTAATGATCTCCCCCAAAAGAAAGCAACACACCTTAAGTTTCACTGGTGAATTTTACCAAGTATTTAAAGAAGAAATAATGCCAAATTCTCTGTGATCTTTCATTGGGGGGAGGGTGGGGCAAAAGCAGAGAATCACTTTCTAATGTATTTTATGAGGCATGCATTGCTCTACTACCAAAGCTGTATAAAGCCATTACACTAAGAAAAATAACAATATCTGTTATGAATATAGTTACAAAAATCTTCCACAAAATATTATCAAGTTGAATTCAACAATATGTAAAAAAGACTTTTACAATGTATACAGTGTCAACAAAGAATAAATATGTGGGATTTATTTAAGATATTTAAGGATGGCTCAACATTAAAAATTAATCAATAGAATCAACTATGTCAAAACTAAAAGAAGAAAACTATTGGATCATATTGATTGGTAAAGAGGAGAAAAAGAAAAGAAAAACTCCCAAATTCAGGATCTAGACTCCCTGCATGGCAACATGAGATATTCTGCAGACATGTTCCTAGTGAGACTGTTGAGAAGTATTTTAGAAAACAACCACTTAGAATCTGTATAAATGGTTCTAAGATCATACAGCAAATGAAGAGACATTTATTTAAGAAAATTTCCTAAAGCTTAGTAGAAGAAGGAGGAGTCTATGGCATCTAAATCATGATATTATCTCTGCCAACTTCCTGCCCAACATGACAGAAACTCCACTGCAGGTGAATATAGCTGAGAACACGTGGCTCCTTCCTCCCTACTCTCTAAGTCAGAAGGCTAAAATATCTTCTCAGGAGGTAAAGGACAACAGCAATTCTCATTCTGTCCCAGTAATTTGTTGCAAAAGCTAAATTCCAGGTGAGTAGACCTGAGAGGTAATGGCTCCCTTTTCTGCCCACCTCCCACTCATTGGATGCAAGCTCCACTTTGGGTGTAGCATGTTTAGAAAGGCCCCAATAACCCTGGCACAAGTTAATTTGTAAAACAGAAGATCCACACTGGGAGAAGCAAGAGCAGAGTTTGCAGGACCCCAAGCACACACACTGCTGAGCATGTAGCTAAACAGCACAGATTTCAGTCAGAGAGAAGCGTCCCACCGTCCACGCTGCCAGTTCTAGAGCTATGGCTCAAAGACTTTGCCCATGGGGAGGCAGGCCAGAGATTTTTCCAAAAGAACCAATTTCATTTGCAACAGAATATTTGTAAGTTCAAGTTTAAGATGATATCAAAAATCATTAGAGATTGTAGTGAAAAACAATTTAGAAAGAAACTAGTAGATTTTTGGAGAAGGTAACCCAAAAACGAGCTAGTTTATCACAGAGAATTAGAGAAAAAGAAGCTGAAGGACAGCCCTCCTGAGGTCAGAACAGATCTTAAACAGGGGCTTCAAAAAGTGAGTCCTAATTTAGTTTGTTCATTTTGTGGGACAAAATATCCCAGGACATTATTGAAAACAATAAAGCAATAATCCTGAAAAATAAATGGAGCTTAACAGTTGGGTGTGTTGAAAAAATAGAGAGAAAACCCTACAAATACCACTGTCATCTCAAGTGAATGGTGTGCATTCCCAAGACTGCACCTTCCAAGTCACAACATCAGAGGCTCCACAGAGAAGGGAAGAATCAGACTTTATATGTTTATGTATTTTTAATATTAAATGTGCTTTTTAATTGTTTTTAAGATTTTATTTCTTTATTTGAGAGAGAGAGAAACATTTGAAACAGAGAGAGAGCAGGAGCAAGGTGAGGGGAAGGGGAAAGTTAAGGGAGATGTAGACTCCCCGCTGAGCAGGGAGACTGACATGGGGCTCCATCACAGGACCCTGGGGTTATTACCTGAGCAGAAGGCAGATGCTTAACTGACTGAGCCACCAAGCTCCCCTGAATCGGACTTTATTAAGGCAAGCAAACAAGTGACTGAACAAGTAAACAATAAACAATAACAAGCCTTGCATGGGAGGAGTGGAGAACAGTACTCAGAGTTGCTACAATATATTATCTAAAAGAGTCCAATCCCTTAAAAATATAATGAGACATGCATAAAAATGGGGCAGTGTAATACACACATGAGGGAAATATAAGACAATAGGAATGGCCCATGAAATCTACTAGATGGTGGATGTAATAGACAAACACGTTAAAGTAGCCATTATAAATATGTTCAAAGAACTAAAAGAAAGCATGCCTAAAAAAAGGAAAGGGAAGTGTGATGATAATGGTTCTGCAAATAGAGAATATCAATAAAAAAATAGAAACATATACACATACATATCTCCAAATGGAAAATCTACAATAACTGAAATTTAAATTCACTAAG